CCCTCCACCCGATCATGCCGGCTCTGCTCATGGCTGCCGGCTGCGGGCTGTGGGGCTCTCAGCAGCACTTTGCAGCCAGCTCGGTGATTGCTTGGTTATTAACAATTACAGGAGGGCGGCCCCAAGGGGTGACTGTTCCCTAGAGACCCCTGCCCTGGCCTCCCCCTCCCTCACATGGAGGCAGCTGGCCATTCACAGCTTCGGGGAGCTTTGCATGCCCCCACCTCCTCTTCCCCAAGCTGGAGGGGGCAGGTCCAGCAGAGCTGAGGAGGGGCGTGGAGCCACCCGCAGGGAACCCAAGGTCTCTCTGAGGCCCAGCTGCCCGCCTCTGCAGCCCTGTCAACAGTCCCCCCTGCAGGGGCAGGCAGGGATCTGGCCGGAGGGCGGCTGCTTCTCCACCTTCCTGCCTTCCCAGGTCTCCGCTTGTTGTGTGAACAAATATTTGGTGTTGCTCAACTCTAAGAACCCAGCCCAGTTACTCTCCCTGTCAGAGGACGAAGAGGGCGCAGCCCAGCGGGGCCCCTTCTAGACCATGTTCTGACCGGGGGTGGCCTTGGCCGTGGGCGTTCTTCTGCAGGAAGGCAGCGCTCATCTCCACGGCATGCCTGGGGAGGGGCTCCTGGTCTGGGTCCACCAACCTGGGCCTGCATGGGCCCAGCCTTGCCTCCTCCCCCTGCCTGGAGCCCCAGAACCAGGCTGGGCCACCCTGGGAGCACCCTACCTGCCCACCGCCCTGTCCTCACGTACTGGGTGCACCAATCTGTGACAGCACCTCCAGCTGTGGCTTTGCGGACCCCCAGGGGCTGACCCCCTCCCCTGGGGGCTGGCATGTGAAGCTGTGGAAAGCAGCTGGTCCAGGGCAAGGCAGCCAGGAGGGGGCTCACTGCCAGGTCACCTCCTACCTGTGGCTCTCCCAGCCCAAGACTTCCTGGTGATTCTACCTCTGTGGGAGGTACCCTCCCCTCCCCCTTCCTCCCTGCTTCCCATCTCAGTGTACAAGCCTCACTCCATCCAGCTCTGGGCAGGGAAGGGCAGGGCCACAGCCAGCTAAACGACAGATCAGAGAACTGAGGCTCTGAGAGGTTACTGGCTCCCCCAGGACACCAATTAATGGGGATACCTGTCATGGCCACAGGTCCCCGGGCAGCACAGCCAGTTTGCACTTAGACTACTAATCTAAAGTGGTGCCATAGAAGAAAGGCCTGGCGATCTGCTTTGTAGAGATTACAGCTAAGAAAACCCGATGGAGCACAGTTCTACTCTGCAACACTTGGGGTTGCCATGTGCTGGAATTGACTGGATGGCAATGTCTGGTTCGGTTCCGGGCTGTGGCCACACACACCATTTGCAAAGACTTCTTGCACCTCCTGTCTCTTGCCCCTTCACCCCCACCATTTAAGGGGTGCCACTCCCCCCCGCAGGAGCAGGAGCCTCATGGAGGGGGCATGTCCTGTGCCAGGTCTGCAGTTCCTGAGGGGGACACTCAGACCCCAAGTCTGTCCCCCCGGGATCCTGGCACCCACTTAGTTTCCCAGGGCAGCTCAAATGGAGGGGGGGGGGGCAGGGCCCCAGGCCTCCCTAGCTGCGCCTCTGGGCTCCTTGGGGCCTGGCTCCGGGGCAGAGGGGCAGTGTGATGCCCCAGGGTGGACAGGGGGCCCCAGACCTTGGGGGGGATCAGAGGTGGACTGTTGCTGAGAGTCCTGCTCCCGGGAGCCCCCAGAGCCACCCTGCGGCCAGCGGTGAGGGGCACCCAGGACCCCTTCCGCTCCTTTCCCAGCTCGGCAAGCCTGCCCCCACTCTGGGAGCTGCCTCGATCGGCCACGTGGGCGAGGCTGCGCTGACTCACTGCTAGTGGCCCCGTCCTTGGAGAACAGCCTCCGGAGTCTGGGTGAAGCACGACCCTCTCCCACAGAGCCTGCCCTGGTGCGCGAGAGGACAGGGCTGGGGACTGCCAGGAGGAGAGAAAGCATCCTCGGCCACAGGAGCCTGGGCGGCGTGGAAGGTGGGAGAGGCTGGTGCTGCCTCTGCCGAGCCCCCGCTCTGTGTCCCCCGTGGTACACAGCCCACACCTCGCCCTAACCCCCGGCGCCCCAGGTGGAAACCACTTCCCTCAGCACACTGGCCCACCGGCCTGCAGCTTGGGGCGTCTGGGCTGGGAGCCGAGCGGGGAGTCCCTTGTGTCTTTGTGAAGGTTGGGGCTCAGGGGATCTCAGGACCTGCTGGCAGGGCAGGTCCCTCCCCAGCTTCCCAGTCTCCTGCCACCCCAACAAGCCCTAGGGAACAGTGTGCGTGCAGGAGGGAACCTTCCAGAGTCTGGGGGGGGGGGCGTGAGAAGGGCACGGCCAGACCCGCCTGGGCAAGCGAGGCTCGAGCAGAGACTCCCGAGGGCTCCCTGTGGCTGCTGCTGGCACACAAAGACCCAGTCACTCCCAGCCCTGGGCTTCTCGAACCCAGGTTCCCCTTTCCTATACCCAGACCAGAGGCAATCTTCCAGGAAGGCCCCCCAATCCCCATGACGAATGGAAGTAAGGAGGGAGCTGGGAGCTGGCCAGAAAACAGGTGAGGTTCACAGCTTTGTAGGTCCCACCTTGCCTGTTCCTCGTGTCCTCCGGGGCGCAGCCAGCCACGTGCCTCGCAGGGGTCCAATGCAGGCGAGACCCTCGCACCCTGCCCCTGGCCCCCCTCTAGCCTCTGGATGAGCAGATGCTGGAGACGCCCCAACCAGCAGCCCCACCCCATCTGGCAGCTCTGAGGCCAGCCCGCCCCACCCAGCCTGGGGTGAGATGCGGGGTGGGGGCACCTTTCCCAGACAGCCTGGCAGAGTCTTCCTTCCCACATGGCATCTCTCAGGGCCCGCCAGTTGTGCAGACCCCAGGGCGGCGTCTGAAAGACATGACCTCCGCGCTCTTTCCTTCCATTTCATTTCATTTCCAACCGCAGATGGGCACCCGGGAGGGCAGACAGTGCAACGGCTCAGGTACCCGGAGCCACCAAGGTCTCCCCTGCCCACACACAGACACACGCAGACACAGACACGCACACAGACACACGCACACACACACATACAGACACATACACAGACACACACACACGCAGACACACACAGACACACATAGACACACACGCACACACCTCCAAACACAAGATACCATCAGCCCTGTCCGTGTGAGGCTGCTGGGCCGGTCATACAGGAGACAGACCCTCCAACAGGGTCCAGCAGAAAGTAGACTGGGGTTGCCAGGGGTTGGGGAAGCGGAAAGCGGCTGCTTAGTGGGCCCAGGGTCCTCTTTCGAGGCGATGAAAAAGTTCTGGAGCTGGACAGTGGTGACGGCTGAATTGTGAACGCACTAAACGTCACCAATGGTGAATTTTATGTTTTGTGTATTTTAAAAGAACAAGCCAGGGCCTAGGACATGGCATCAGATTAATGCTCCCGGTCCCCAAGGAGGCGGGACCGTCCTCCCCAGGGCAGACCCACGGCCACTCTAGCCGAAGGTGAAATCTTCCCATCACTCTCTGGGAATGAACAGATGTATTATTGTATCAACCACGCTGGCCTGCTCCAGTCATCCAGAGGCCGGGCACCAGCCAGGGAAAATGGCACCAGGCAGGGAAGATGGGCACCTTTCCTGCCAGCGCCCGAAGAAGCTCCTGCTGTGGCTGTTTTGAAGAATTAACCAAGTCCCACCTGAGCAGGCACCCAAGCCTGGCGCTGACGTAGAGATGTGGCACACACAGGTAGGCTCAGGGAAAACCCTGCCCTGTGCTCCAAGCCAGCACCAGCCTAGCCTCCTGCCCGGGCTGAGAGTTAAGCAAACTCTTGACCTGAGCGTTTGTGCTTCGGCGGGTTTATTCATGACTGGTATTTACACCAACGACAAGTTGACTCAGAGGGTCTCCCAGCGGGCCTCAGAGTCCTTGATTTTAAATGGATGAAGATTTGGGTTCTGTCTTCCCTCGACTCGGCTCATGCCACTGCAAGTCCTGTGAAGTAGGGGAGAATATTCCGTTTCCAGCAGAAAGAGCGATTTTAAAAGTCGTTTTCCTTAAGCTTTAGAGCTCCTTACACACACAGTCCCCAAACGCTGACCCTGCTCAGTTCTCCAGTTGCGCTTTCAGCAAGGGGCTATTCTGAGAGCTGTTTGTGTCCTGACAATTTCCAGCCGCGGACTTTTTTGTGCTAACGTGAATAATCGCACAGTCGGGAAAAATGCAAATCTGCTCCCCCGGGGACCGGGCTGCGGCGACCAGACCCGCGGAAAGGCCAGCGCCGCCCCTTGCGCGAGGGAGGGAAGGAGAGCGTCGGGACCCGGCCGCAGGCTCCCGCGCCTGCCCGGGGAGTCCGGAAAGCTCGCCCACAGGCGGGTGTGAGCGCGCCTCCCAGGAGGCTGACGGAGCTAAGTGCCGGCTGTTTACCCAAGACAGCTATTTGGGGAAAAGGCAAAGGGAAAAGCAACGTTTCTTCAAGCTGCCTGCCAGCCCGCGCGTGTTAACATTTCCACCGCTCAAAGACTCCTGCTCATTTTGATTTTTTACCCCAGGAGAATTTGAGGCGAGGGACCATCCTCACGCTGAACAAGTGACCACAGCGTGCGCCTGAAGGACACTACCCCACAATTAATATTTAATAGGGGACCACAGCACGCGTCTGGAGGACATCAGCCTGAACGCTTCCGCCCTGCCTCTTCCCCCAAATTAGCAGAGCTGAGGGTTTGGGGGGCTGAGGGCGGACGGGGGCATGGCCGCAGATCGGTCTCTGGGGAGACCCCCCCACCACAGAGCCCCCTGTTCCCATCCCCAGGCCCCCTCCGGAGACAGCGCTTCCCGAAGCCTCCACCTCCCTCTGAACTTCCTCCGTTTCCCAGACGCCGGGAAAGTTGCGGGGCGCCAGGGTGCCGGCGCGCGCCGGGGCCGGAACCGGCCTTCAGCACCGGGGACAGCGGCCGGTGCGGCGGGGACCAACCGGCCGCGGGCAAGGACCCGGCCGCCCCCCGCCCTACCTGTCGTCGTTCTGGAAGGACTGGTCGCCCAGCAGCAGGTCCCGAAAGCGATACCGCGGCGGCAGGGGCAGCACCTCCGAGTCCAAGTCGGTCATCTTGAGGCCGGCGATGTCCAGGAGCACGCCGTCCCCGCGGCAGCCGTCCCCGGCTCCGGGCTGCCTGCGGGCACACGCCAGCGCCCCCTCAGCAAGCCGC